ATACAAAAAGGAAAATCTGCTGATTTTCCAGTCATCTTGAGGTATATTAGGATGTTCTTGACATTATTGCCTTCTCTGCCAAGGAATTTGATGATATTCATGTTACAATTCTGCATAAAGAGGAGGACACTGGGCTTGGATTCAGCCTGGCAGGAGGCATTGATCTAGAAAACAAAGTGATAACAGTAAGTAGCATCTTTCTTAAAAAATAGTCCTAAAACAAAAACTCTGTCTAAAAATATGTAACTCTATTAATAGAGCTCTACTGCAGGGGATGGCTTTCAGCATAATAAAGGAGGCAGCTGTCTGCTGGTAGGGACAGAAAAGTTACAGTCTAAAGTGGGAGAGAGCGGGATCCTTCTGCACAGAGCAGCACCCCCAGGTTATTGGCAGTGGTGTCTGGTTTTCTCAGGCACAATTCTCACCAAACAGCTCTTAAAGCTGAGGCCAAACAGTCCACACCGCTCAACAGCAGGAAGCAACAGCTCCTTTGTCCCTATGCTTATAGGGGACCCTGCAGGGAGTCAGGCCTCCTGGGAGGAATGAAGTGAGTACATGGGCATGTAAGGGCTGGAAACAAGAGACAAGCCTTATGTCTTCTCCCTTAGACTGACAGAGCCGAGAGAGGATCAGGATGTAGCGTGGGCAAGGTGCTTTCCAGGGCAGCAGGGCCTGGGCCATCTGACACTGGGGCTGGGCAGATTACTTAGCACTTAGAAGCTGCTTGAGGAGGGCTGCGCCCAGGAGAACTTCTCTGTACAACGTTATTCAGCCCTCAGCCCTGGAACGTGCCAGGTAGAAGTTGCTTCTAGCAAAGAATGGAAAAAGGCATACTGTAAAAAAACATCGAGTAATTTAGTGATTTGTCTTTTTTCTCCCTTTTTTCCTTGGGGTGTGTGTGTGCGTGTGTGTGTGTGTGGCGACTGGGGTCTTCAATAGGTTCACAAAGTGTTTCCTAACGGACTAGCATCTCAGGAAGGAACTATTCAGAAAGGAGATGAAGTATTATCCATTAATGGGAAGTCTCTTAAAGGGGCCACTCACAGTGATGCCTCAGCAATCATGCGACAGGCCCGACAGCCCAGGCAAGCTGTTGTCGTCACTAGAAAAGCTAAAGATGGAGAAAAAAGTCTTAACGTCTCCATTAATTCTAGTACCTCTTCAGTAGCAAGTGATGTTTCACAAGAGTCTGGTGAGTATGTTCAGCAGCATTACTTTGCAATCCCCATCCGCTAAGCACTTACTCATCACCAGAAATTCTGGCTGTTCGTGAAGAGCAGCTCAGTGTTGGCTAGATAAACCTGAGAACCTTATTTACATACTGCAAGGAAACACGAACTAGCTTTGTAGTTAATAGCACTTTCAAAACTAACATCAAGTCAAATATGTTTTCCCTAAATTTTGTTCATTGAACAGATCTTTCTAATTCTAGTAAACATCACCAACTTTTATCTTTCCATTCTGCCGTGAATTCAAAATACAACTTTCTCTCTCTGGTTTCCCAGAGAGCCTTACAATGACAAAAAGAGAAATTAAAGACTATTGTTTTCTCTTTCATTTGGCAGGTTTTGGTGCCTTTTCAAACAAAACAAATAGAAGCTCATTCTTTGTAACAGATGTTTTAGCTTTTCAGAGTATATGGTTCCCATCTGCTGATTTCCCATTTGTTTCCAGCAACTGAAGATGCAATCTGCACTGTAACTCTAGAAAAAACACCTGCTGGTCTAGGATTCAGTCTGGAAGGAGGGAAGGGCTCTATTCATGGAGATAAACCCATTGTCATCAACAGGATATTTAAAGGTAAACACACTTAAATGTATGCACGGCAGGTCCTTACCTGACGCAAACCTGTACAGTTCAGAACTGACTGCTGATTTATACCCAGGAAAATGCTATTTTTTGTAAATACAGCATTACCTATTTCACTCCAGTGTGAGTGATTTGCTGCTCTTTTTGTTGAGCCCAGGTTTGGTTTATACCAAACGTGCTGGTGATCCTTAATGAGTGAAACATTTGTTAAAGTCTCCTCTACCCAAAGAATTAAAGGACATTAATTCTTTGTCCTCAGGGATTACTTCAGAACAAAGCAGCCCTGTTCAGCCTGGTGACGAGCTATTACAAGTGCACACGACTGCCATGCAAGGACTCACTCGTTTTGAAGCATGGAATGTAATCAAGGCATTACCTGATGGGCCCATCACAGCTCTCATCAAGAGGAAGAATCTGAGCTCTGTTACCACCAAGTCATCTGAAACTTTGTAGGAAGAGGAATTAGACTACCTTTGATATTACAAACAAAAAAAAAGGTTTCCTTACGGAAAGCCATTTGGCCAGCACAGCAAGATATTGTGAAAGTATGTATGAAAAATACATACGATCTTACTGCCAGTTACAGATGTTTTTACAATTCCAGAACAAGCTGTTTCGGATAAAATGAGAAGATATGCACAAAATGCTCAGGATCCTTATTTCAACATTCAGAAACAGATGTTACAAAGCGTAGAATGATAAAACAATGTTTTTATTAATAATATGCTGATTGCAAAATGTGTGACAGCCATAGCACTGTCCTATTTTAGCCATTAACTTAAGAAAATAAGAAACATTCTGGGGTAAGTTTTCAGCCTTGTTCTAATAGCTTGCTCCCTATCCTACAATCCTAAAAGGAGGGAACATGTCTACAACCCTATAACTAAACATGCTGCAGCACAGGAAAAGACTTACAGGATCTGTAAGGGGCAGAGAAATGGGGATGCAAGTCAATAGGTCAAAACTACAACAGTTCTTGGAAAACTCCAGCTTTTCTGTTCAAGCCACAAAACAGTCAAGAGTGCCAAAATCTGTCGTAGGAGGACTTTCTACTAGCAGCTGAAACAATCTCAACTCCAGCAGGCAAACACTGGGAAAAAAGGGAGCATCTGTAGGTGTTGTAAAAACGAGGCAGGAAGCTAAGGGTAACGTAGCGGAGGTTTTTCTAATCATTCTCTGGCTTGAGGTCTGAGAGGACTAATACAGGAGAGAAACAAAGCCATCTAGAACCAAGTCTTATCTTCTGCCCACACATAAATTTTGAAATAATGTGGTGTTATCTCATCAGGGAAGTGCCAGTGAGAGTATACAGGAATTAAAGCTTTTGGACCCAAAGGTCCAGAACACTAGAAGTTATTCTAGAAATACTAAGTAACTTTGAGACAAATCTATGCTTCAAATCCTGCTGTCAGTATTTTGGCTCCTTAATCTTCTACAAGAATTTCTACCAGCAGCACATGTACTTCTGGCAAGATAGTCTCATGCACCCATTTGGTCTTCTCTGACCTATTTCATCAAAAGGAGAGCTACAACGGCAGATGCTTTGTCCTGGAAGTATTCAGTCACTAGCTGAATGCCGGATGGGCAAGCTAGTTATTGTCCTTGGCTAGTCACCCTTCTGTACTTCGGAAATTTGCTGCACTTCTCTTAGATTACTTAATTTCACTAGACCATAAATTACAGGAGTTCAGAAACTGTTTTACGAACACTTAAGGCAAAGGTCACAGAAATGGCAACTGATGGAAGGGGAAGTGGGATAGACAGCAGATGGTATTAATCGCATCCAAGCAAAAAACTTGCTTTGGCCTTTGCTCAATATCAACTCTGTGTTAACCCTGGGAAGAACATTCTTGACAAGCCATCTGCCACCCCCAACCATAGACCCCCTTCCAATTGACTTGTCTTCTCCAATTAAAAAAAAACCTGAAAGCAAACATTCTACAAATTAGGTAGCAAAATACCAAAATAGGAGAAAAAATATGTATCAAACTGTGAATCTTTTTGTATGTTTTAAAAATAACATCTACCTGAATCACTCTGTGTTACTGGCTCAACAGAGTCTAAGTAAACCCATAAAAAGCATATAAAAGTTCTATGGCGTTGCAACCACTTGTCCATACCACCAATACAAGAAAAATGTGAACCACTTCTGTACAGTAAAGCAGCACAGTTAAAAGAACTTCCTGTAAAAGCTAGATCACACTTTTTTGGTCAGCTTTGTGACTTTAAAAACAGAGATTGTACCAGGTACAGCCATGGAACAGAATGGCTTGACTTACTTCAGTGTCATTTCCTGAAGACGTCCTCGCTAGAAACAGCTATTTTATTTCATCAAATTAAGAACTGTCATAGAACAACCAACACAGGTACGATCTCATGTTCTCCAAAGGTGCTCCTCTCTCCTGTTAACAGTTTTCAGTTTTTGCCCAGTTTTCAGTTTTCACCCATCTCTGTTTCCTGACATCAGCCAAGATCAAAAGCAGAAGTGGAAACACACTGTGTGACTGGCAGCATTTTCTACTGGGGAGTCCTCCAACATCTTACAGGATGCTCTTTACTAAGACATTTCCATCCCTAACTTGGCACGGCAGAAGGCTGCAATATCTTAAGGGCTCTTAATTCCTTCTAGATAATGTCTTGAACATTCAAAAGAAAAGAACCTTAAATTACTCTAATGAAGAGCCTCCTCTACCATCCTTATTGTTTGAAGCAATATACAATATGTATACTCACACACACACAAAATATATTATGTATAGCTAATATAAAAAGCCCCCCTGTCAGCAAAAAGTTTACTTGCAGGAATAGTGTGGGGTAACCTGGGCTCTGCTCCTTGAACTTTTTGATATTTAAATTAACAAAAATCATAGTCCTTCAAAGATTTGCACAGATGTTGCACTTCATGCTTGATTTACAGTATATTTAGTTAAACATGCATTAGCCTCTGTAGTAGCAGGGCCCAAACCTCTTCTCAGTCAATTCAACTCTTAAGCATTTTGTTCTCACCAAAACACCTAAATACTTATCCCCGCTTCGTGAGGGGTGGAAATGGGACTGAAGGCTCTTCTCTACCTGGATGCACTGAATTTACAGAGACACTGGATGTCCAAGAGCCTCCCAAGTTTCCCTGTTGGCAAAGCAGTGAGGTGGGAAACGATTTTAAAGGATGATCCAGGAAAAACAGTAAGATGTAGCAGAAAAATATTTATTTTGTAACACACTCACATGAGTTTTTAAATCTTTGTATACAAGGAGACTAGATTAAAAACTGCTTCCTTGAAAAATCTATTCCACAAGGTAAAAATTATAGTGGGAAAATTTGCTTTCAAGTCCATACATTACACTATACATACAACAAATAGAGGGACAGAAAACAGAGCATACTAACTTCATTAAATAATCCAATTACAGCATTAAAATAACAACCTGCATTTAAATTTCTAATTCAGCAATTCATTTCCTTTTCCTTTCGTAATTATAGGCAATGCATAGTAACGTCTGACATTCCTGCAGTAATCAGCACCATAAATATTTTCTAGAGCTGCACGCATCACTGCACACTAGATCAGGAGCTGATTTCTCAAGATAATGCTGTGAGATGAGACAGTCTTAAAAAGAAACAAATGGGTCCTGTTAAATCAAGACTAGGTTACCGAAAAGATTATTTACCTGTTAATACCTCTCACCATAAGAGATGGAAAAATGTTTAAATACATGATCATTTCAAGTGCAGTTAGAAAAACGGCAGGTAAAGCGCTTAAGCTTTATTTATCACTGCTATGTCAGTGCAGTTTGGTTCATGACACTGTGGAAATCACTGGTTTTGGTATAGAGGGGAGGAAAGAAGTTTACAGACCACAGACCTATGAATTGATTTAGATTGTTAGGCCTTGATTCAGAAAAGAGAAATTAAGCACACGTTTACCATTAGAACTGAAGTCTGCTGGAACAAACAAGCAGGATCCTCCAGACGCAGTCCAATTTGTTCTGGCTTCTACCATTTGCTAGCTTGGTCCCATCATAACATCTTAGCAGCTCTACGAGTGCTAGCAGCAAAAGAGCTAACTCTTCCTTCAAGGAAGGACCATTGTTCCATGGGAGTCTATGGGGAGCTGCAGAGAGACAACAGGGCTGACCTGCGCTTGACTAGTGCCAGCAGTGCTAAGTGGATTTTAGCAATGATCCTGATAGACCCTGATGAAGCATGGGCAAACACAGATGTAAAACGTGCATCTTCTCCCCGCAGACAGCCAGCAGTGTGCTGCCTCCAGGATTCTTTCAGCATCTGGTGTGATAACCTTCATTTTAATAATTAAAAAAATACATTAGAAGATGGTGCATTGCTTTGAATACAGACCGGCAGAAAACGCTGTGTAAAAAATTTACCTTACTGAATTCATTGTTCCCACTTCACCTTTCCTAAGTATCTTTGCTGGTAGAAAAGTGTTGTAGGCCAACCTCTATTTCCCATCATTTCTATCCTCAAGCTGCCACTGGCTTTCCTACCCTCAGGTGGTCATCTCAGCAATTGGTCTTGTCACGCTTTTAATGTCTTAACAGCTTTGGTCAGATTGCTGTAAAATGCAGCTATGCTAGCTGGAAAGAAGGAATCCACCACAGTCTGGGGAAGATAGCCACCAAGATCGGTCTGAAAGAAGCTGAGGAGTTGAGTCCTGTCCGATTCTCTGCAAAAAATAATGCAAGCAATTTTATAGCTTCAGGTCTGAAGACATTAAGAGCTTTACAGTAACTTTTATATGCATTAGCTGATGATAGATATTTCTAAGGTTTTTTTTAAACTGACCAGAGGTTATTATTCTCAAATTCCTACGAATGCGGCTATCCCTGCAAGTCAAATTACAGTTAAATCAGGCCCCAGTTAGGTATGTGATTCTGTTTATGAATTTCCCAATGAAATAAACAATCATGTACTCATTTTGCAAAAGCTGAGGCGTACTTGCATGTTTTGCTCAATCTCTGCTGAAGAGGTCAGCAAGAATCCTACCATGATGATGGTTCCTGTAAAATTAACAACTTCTTTCTAGGAAATGGAAAGAGACTAATTGCACAAAAGCGAACAGAAAGTGCACTCATTCATAAGGACTACAAGTCACAGGAAGATAGAAACCTGTGGTTGCCAAGAGGCTACAGGTATGCCCATACACGCTTACACTGCGCTATAGATAGGAAGGACGTCAGAACATATAGCATTCAAATAGATCTCCTCTTACCCTGGAACAGGTATACAGAAACAGCCACAGGGATAATTGAACCCTCTAACGAAATTTGCTTGAGGAGGACAGAGTGCATGTTCCACATTGGTAGCTATAGGAAAAAAGCATTCAAGAAAAATGTTATTTTCAAAGGGGATGGTCAAGAGTCCGTTGTAGTCAAAGCACCAGCTGAGAAGCAACTTAATACAAGGGAATATATTTAAGAGGAACGATAGTCTAATGTTTTCAATGCTGGGCTGTGCTGTACAAGCAGTCAGAAAACATGATTAAAAGGAACCATTCTGGCCGTGAAATCTACAAAGCAAACAAACATTAAATTTAGAAGCAATTGTTACTGAGCTGTGAAGTAAGCATCAAGACAAATTTCAAGGAGTTTTATCAAAACCGTGTAGTATGAGGGCACTGCTCTTGAGAGCTCATTCAAGTTACTTCCAACAAGTCCATACTGCAGAGGTATGTACCACTGGTCTGCTAAGAAGCACAGCTTCAATCCTGGCAAGTCAGAATCCTGAACAGGATGGGAAAATGGGACAGCTGAACAGTAGGGCAGTAAAAAACTGAATTGTAACAGGAGCGAAAAAACAAAGAGACATGCTTGCATGCCGTGCTAGCCCCTTAAAAATTACCACTATTTGGCTTCAGATGAATGGTTGTTTAGATAAAAACAGGAACAGTACGTTTATTCAGTGGCCTCACCAGAATCTAGAAGCATTGTAGAAAATGGTAAAGCAGAATTTAGCAAAAGGAGTCCTTTTAAAAAGCTCTATAAACTCTAAAAAAAAAATTCAAAACTTAACAGTAAATGAAATAACTACTCAATCTCAAAGGCATACCATGAGAAGAAACCACAGGCCAACAATACAATCATTATCTGAACAAAAACATGACTTCCATACTGCATCTGAGGACAATGATGTCAACAGCTCACTAGTATTTTATCTTCTGATCAAGATCAGATCAACAGCGACTGAACAGCATATATTATTTATTTTTTAATCTTATATTTATTTGCTGTAGCTACAGGTTACCTCATAACATTGTATGAGGACACTGACAACATAAGCATCTTACCAGCAGACAGCATAGTCCCATCTTCACACTGCTTCATTAGTACCACATCCACAAATTCTCTTGGTGAAATGATCTTCATGAAAGCTGAGGGGGTTGTGGTTCTGCATACAGAGATGGTCTAGAAGTTATAAAACAGTCATGTTAATTGATGCTTTCAGAAGTACAACAAAAAGATCCTCATGCAGCCACAAACTCCAAGTTAACGCGTAGCAAACTGTACTACTGAGTTCTATTCACCGTTTGTTGAATAAAATGCAATTCAGCATAGTTGCAGTTTCTGCACCTGGCACTAAGGTGTGTTGATGAAGGACAGATTAATGGAGAAAAACACAGTGATGCCGAGTTGCTCCCAAGTCATATAAGGACAGATACCACAAGGGATGCTGAAAAGGGAAGTGGGCACATCTATACTCATGGGACAGTTAAAATACCTCTGTTTTTCAGGAAGTTAACGAAGATACCTTCTTTGTACCGCATCACATGGGATGAAATTTGATACCAAGATTTGTTAACATTGCAGAAAGCTTCAGCCCCCTTGTATGAAGGTAGTGTGATGGAAAGGCCCTCCAAAACAAAGGTTTCTACTGGTAAACACTGGCAAGTCTGATAAAGTCTGTGAATATCAAATAGCAGGCTGTACCACTTCTAAAGCTGCAGTTTATATTTAATTCTAAGTACCTGTAAGGTTCTGACAGGAGAAATCTTCCCAGGACTCCCACCAAAATCCCTAGGATCGGTTGTGTTTGCACTCTGGAAGCCTCAGAGCACCTTCATCCACCACTTCCAATTCAGGGATCTGAACCTTTCCCTTTTAAGATTCTAACAAATAAAAAGCTTGAACACTGGACAGTGTTCCCACCAGCTGCTGCTCTTATGTAGCCGTTTTCATCTGTAACACTCCAAGCACTTCACGACAACATAAGCAGCAGCAGCATCTCCGAGTTAAAAGAGGGTGCTGTTGAGACAGATGCGAGGCCCGAGGTCAGCCGAGGACAGGGCGACGGGCTGCGTGCGGCTGCTACGCGCTGGGGACGGAGCATCACGTGCTGCCGGGCTGAAAGGCAGCGGGCTGCGTTAACGGGCAACCACAGGACCTCTTCACTACTCCGCTAGGTCGGGGTATAGTCTAAGTCTCCTCTTCCCTCGCAAATAACTTGTTAAAAATAATCATGAGAAACTTTAAAAGCTTAGCCACGTTAATAACCATCTCAGGTCTTTAATGTTATGAAATTATGTATTTTTAATTAAGCAGCGTTTAGCCAAGACACTATAGTAGCTCCTTTTAGAAAGATAAGCTGTAGTTAAGAAAAAAAAATGCATTGAAAATTAAAAAGAAAAGGGGGGGGGGG